GGATGGCGTTGCCGCCGGAATGCGGGGTTTCCTCCAGGGGTGCGGAGGGACCTCTCTTGCTCAAATTCCACACTGACATTTTTGTCACTTGTTTGTCCCTCTTGCTTCAGAGTCCTTCCCCCCCCCCCAAAGTATTTTGCTCTCTCTAGTAGTCCCAAACACATGTGGGAGGGGGCGCGCGCAAAGCAGTGGGGAAAACCCGAGTGACCAAAATTTCAGTGCGGAATGGAAGAATCTCCCGATGCTGGCGGAAAGACCTCTTGGGGCGCGGGATGATGTATCCCGAACACCTTTCCCGAAGGGTCCTGGTTGGGAGGGTTGGGGAGCGGAGCAGGCCCCCCGGCTCAACGAGAGAGGTCGGGCGGGACCCATCCAGAGGCTCCCCCCTGCCTAAATGCTAGACAGATAGGGGTGTTTTTTGTTGTTGTTTTGGTCTTTCTCTTTCGTTGATACCCCGCCTCTCTCTCCCCAATGGGGACCCAAAGCGGCTTACTTCGTTCTCGGCTCTTATCCTCCCAACAACCCTGTGAGGCAGGCCAGGCTGAGCGTAGCGTGTGTGGGGGAGGGCGCGGGTGGCCCAAGGTCACCGGCAGTCTCTCTCGCTCTCGCTCTCTTTCTGGCGCGCCAAGAACTTAGCGAGGCGAGAGAATCCCTCGGCCCCTGAATACTTTAGGGAGGGGAATCCGCAATCCCGCCACGTCCACGAACTGCCCCAGACATGGCGGGAGAAGCCAAGTCGCGGGGACCCCACCGGGCATGCGGTTGCCGTCTTAGCCCGGTCCTCTTAAGCATGTTTTACTCGGAAGTAAAATCTCATCGAGTTCCACGGGGGCTTCCGCGAAGCTTCTTTCCTGAAAATAAGCGTCGTCGGATAAGATTCGGCTTCCCTCTGAGTAGGCCTGTTTAGGATCGCTGGCAAGAGCTCCTGCTGAGGGCGATTATAATGTTAAGCAGACGCAGAAAGGGAGGGGGGGGGAGAGTTACCACCCACGAAGTGTGACTCGGATTGTCAGTGTAGGACGCCCGGCTAGAAATCGTTGGAGTTCAACACAGCACCTGGGGGAGGCCAACGAGACTCTCGGGGTTTGCAGGTGTCCGAGGATCAAAGCTCTCTCCGTCGGGCCACGCGCAGGAATGGAGATCTGGGGGGCCTTTGATCCAGGGCCGAAGGTGGGTGGGGCGTGGCCAAGATTGCCGGGGGGGGGAGGAGGCGACGGCGCCCTGCCCGGAGGGACCCGCTCCGCTCCCAGCAGGCGGGGCTGGGAGACGCCGGGAGGCAGGGAAACAGGCACCTGCCGGGAGATAAGGCTCCTGCGTGGTTCTCAAAGGATGTGGATGGCGAAGCCGTACCCGGAGCCCGCACCGTTTTGGGGAGGCTGGCTGGGGAAAGGGACTGAGGTCGGCGCAAGGGGCCGCGGCCAGATCCCGCTAAAGTCAGGTGCTTTCCAAACGATTCGTTCAATCTGATCTCCACATATTGGCACGAGAGTAAAATAACATTTCGGAAGGGACGAATGCAGTGGAGACAATGCAGGCCGGTGTGCCGCGGGAGGCGTCCTTTCAAAAAGAAGCGCCCCCCCCCTTTCGGCCTGAGAGGACGCCTCTTTTCCACGCGGCGTCCGCCAAATCGGTTTTTGATAAGTTTTATTAGATAGGCTAAACAGTAAAGAGCCCCGCGTCGCACCTTTATGAAGACGAACGAACTCTATTGTAGCACAAGCTTTGGAGAACCACGGATGCCTCTGGCGAAGAGAATTGTGTTTCTCGAAAGCTTATTGCGACAAATACAGTTCGTTAGTCTTCATAAAGGTGCGACCGGGGCTCTTTACTCTTTCGCAGCAACCGACTGACACGGCTCACTCCTCTGGATGGGCTGAGGCATTTTAAAGGTAAAGGTAAAGGTTTCCCTTGCTCGAAAGCCAGTCGAATCCGACTCTAGGGTTGCGGTGCTCATCTCCGTTTCAAAGCCGAAGAGCCAGCGCTGTCCGAAGACGTTTCCGTGGTCATGTGGCCGGCATGACTAAACACCAAGGCGCACGGAATGCTGTTACCTTCCCACTGAAGTGGTACCTATTTATCTACTTGCAATGTCTTGCTTTCGAACTGCTAGGTTGGCAGGAGCTGGAACTAGAGACAGGAGCTCACCCCGTCTTGCGGCACCCGGGTCTTGAACTGCTGAACTACTGACCTTCCACAGCCTGCAGTTCAGCGTCTTAACCACTTGAGCCACCGCAGCTCCTGGAGATCTGGGAGGCATTTTAGTAAACCGCTTTACTAAATTAGTAAAAACACCCAGATTCGAATTTAATTTTACGATGACCAGCAAATTTATTTATTTATTTTAAGACTTTTATTTATTATTTGTCACAAAAGTCATTGGTCGAGATATAGTAAATGACCGCCACCTGTCCAGGCAATAGCAACCTCCCCCCCCCCCCCCCCGCGAAGAGCCCCCTCCACTTCCCGGAATCGCCTCGCATTGTTTCCTGGAAGGCGTCGCATGCGACTCTCCCTCCCCGCGCGTAAGGCTCCTCAAGATGCGCGTGGCGCGGAGGCTGTAGTCGTGGATCGTGCCCACTACCAGCTGCAGCCGGGATCTCCGGTTCGGTCTCCGCGGACTCCCGAAGACGGAGCAAGCCAGGCGGTCCGCTGGGGCAGCATTGGGACAGCAAACCGAACTCGCTCTCGGCGGGCAGCCGTTCAGCCCGCCGACCTGCCTTCCGTGCCTGCAGCTGGGGGGCCCGGAGCGGCGTCAGCCTGCCTGGGCGCAGAAGCCCCAGAGCAAAACCGAAACCAGCGCTCATCTGAGTTTGGTAGATCCGGAGTGTGTGTGTGTGTGGGGGGGGGCTGAGTAGCCCGGGCTGGATGAGCAGATCCGGACATGGGAGCTTGATTTGCATACCCTTCTCCGGCGTTTTTTTTTGGGGGGGGAATCAAAGAAATACCCCCCCCCCTTTGGTCTTGGGTGGAAGATCCTCCCCCTCCCAGAGTCCTGCTGTTTCCCAAAGTTTCATTGCACTCGGAGCTCATCCCCAGGCAGAAACGGTTTTGGGTCGCCCCCGCAACGCTCTGGTATCCAAGCCCCTTCGCCCTCCTTACGTGCCCCGGCCTAGCGGCGCGATCCGAAACAGAACCGCGCTCTTCGAAGCCCCCTGACGCCCACCGCGCGCCTCCCGGAGTCATTCTGGTTAAGAAGGGAAGCTCCCCCCCTCCCCCCCCATCTCCCCAGCCAACTCGGGGCGTAGCAGCGGAAGGAGAAGGCAAGGCAAGGCCGGCGGACTCAGTCGGCCCTGGAGACTGCCGCCGAGCCTCATCCCCGGGAAGGCCACCCGCAGGCGCCCTTCCCAGACAGGGTCCGGCCACAGTTTCCGCATCTCATTGGCTTCATCCATCCCCCGGGAAAGTTGACGTCTGCTTTGGAGCGTCTGGCGCGTTAGAGTCGCGACCCAGGAGGGGATCTGCAAGAGGAGCAGTGCGGGGCGGCCCGGCCCGGCCGCACGAACCGGGTTCCGTTACCGGGCCGACCAAACGGCCTTTGACAGGCTGGGGAGATGTTTGCCTCGGCCTGGGATGGGGCCGTGGGGCGGAGGGAGGGAGGGAGGGAAACGACCCTCCACAATCGGCGACGTCCAAAGGCAGCGTGGCTGGCTGATGGATATCAGTGTGGCTGGCTGAGACGTCCCGGGTGAATTCCGCGTTTGAGCTCTCCGCAGGGAGGGAGGGCAAGCTGCGCTCATCCACACCAATGCGGCGCCTGCGATTTCTACCAGCTGCGCTCAATGCTCAGGGCGTCTCCAGCTCAAAAGCCCCTGACTAGAATCCCAGCAGGGACGCTCAGTGGTGGAGAAAAGGCACTCTGCACATGTTCAAAGAGACCGTCTCTTTAAAACAAGCAACCCCACGAGGCAGGCCTGAACCATGTCGCGATGTGGATACAATCACTCAACAGGCTCATCGGCAATGTTCCCAGTTTTTTACACTCCAGCTCGCACATTTTTGTCTTAGCTCAGGCAGGATGGCTCCAGAGCAGACTAATTTACGCAGTAGCCAAATCACTGGCTCACAACTTTAATGCCTGTAGCTCACAAAGTACAATTTTTGCTCACAGGACTCCACAGATTAGAGGTAACATTGCTTGCATCCACATATCTTCTTCTGCACCATAAATTTTCCTCACAAGACTCCACGCCTTAGAGGGAGCAGGGCTATTTTTGGGCAGGAACACACAAGGAGCTCCAGCTGGCTTCAGAGTTAGCCAAGCCCACTACAGCCAAAACCACTCCTAGGTGGTTGGGCCAGGTGAGACCCCGGATGGCCTTCCCCAGCGGGAAAGCCAAAGGAAGGCATGGGGTGTGGCCTAATATGCTAATGAGCTGTTATCAGGGGTATGCCAATGAGTTCCTGCTGTTGGGTGTGGCCTATGGGTGATGTTGGGTGTGGCCTACAAAAAACCCCCTGAGAGGGAGTATTGCCCATCCGCTATAGGGGGGGGGGGTTCACTTGAGCCCAGCCTCTCTGCACAGAAGAGCCTGTAACCCCCTGACCACGTACAGAGTGCCTTTGCCCTGAGGAGCAGCGACCCCTACCTGAGAGCAAAGGGGGGGGGGGAGAGAGGGGAAGCGGCTCGAGCACTTTATGCCCAGCTGAGTCCCGAAGCAGGTTTGGGAGCATCTCGGGCTAGGGCCAAGGCCGGCGACTTGGGCCATTCCCCGACAGGGCGGGCCAAGTGGGGCCAGGCAGGTGCCCTGTCGAGTCAGTCACCCCTTTGTCTCTCCTTTGCAGACGGCGACGCTTCCTGGGAGGAGGGCGAGCAGCAGCACGAGCAGCGCTACTTCTTCGACGTCTCCAGCCTGCCCGAGGGGGACGAGGTGGTGGGCGCGGAGCTGCGGATCCTGCGCAAGCCGCCCGAGGAGCGGGGCCTGCCGCTGTCCCCGGAAGGCCTCTTCCACCGCCTGCTGCTCTCCGCCTGCCCCGGCCCGGGCGCCCGCGACGACGGAGAGGAGGAGCCCCCGCTCTGGGACTCCCGGGCCGGCGACCTCGTGGACTCGGGCGGGGCGGCGGCGCCCAAGTGGGAGGTCTTCGACGTCGGGGCCGCCCTGAGAGGCCGGCCGCCGCGGCTCTGCTTCCTCCTGCGGGCGGTCTCGGAGCGGTCGGCCCGCCTGCTGGCCCCGGGGCGCCTGGGCTTCCGCCGGCAGCAGCAGCAGCCGGAGGAAGAGGCGGCGGCGGCGGCCTGGGCCGAGCGGGCCCTGCTGGTGGTCTTCTCGCGGGCGCAGCGGAAGGAGAGCCTCTTCAAGGAGCTGCGGGAGCAGGCCAAGGCGCTGAGCGGGGCCCTGCTGGAGGGCGGCCCGCAGAGGAGGCGCCGGCGGCGGACGACGCTGGCCGGGCGGGCGGCGGGCCGGGGCCCGGGCAAGAAGGCCAAGAGCCGCTGCAGCCGCAAGGCCCTGCACGTCAACTTCAAGGAGCTGGGCTGGGACGACTGGATCATCGCGCCCCTGGACTACGAGGCCTACCACTGCGAGGGCGTCTGCGACTTCCCGCTGCGCTCCCACCTGGAGCCCACCAACCACGCCATCATCCAGACCCTCATGAACTCCATGGACCCGGAGGCCACCCCGCCCAGCTGCTGCGTCCCCGCCAAGCTCAGCCCCATCAGCATCCTCTACATCGACGCCGGCAACAACGTGGTTTACAAGCAGTACGAGGACATGGTGGTGGAGACGTGTGGCTGCAGGTAGCGGCGAAGCCCTCCCGCACGGACGCCCCCTGCGGGTCGCCGAGCGAAATCCCTCCCCGGGGAAGGGGCGGCCCGACTCTTCCTCCGCCGCCCCCCTTGCCGGTGGCTTGTGGGCGCCCCCAACGGCGGAAGTGGAGAGGATGTGTGGCTGGCCAGGCAGAAAGGACTTTCGCTCGCCTGGAGCATCGGGGGAGGGGGAGGGGGGCTGGGATCAGCAGGCCTCTTCCTCCAGGAGCCCTGCCGGGCACTGCTGCATCCTCCTGGCACTCTCTTGCTCCCCAGTCCTGGGAGAAAGATCCCAGCCGCCACCCCATGGGCACTTTAAGAAATATGGACGTCTTGGAAAGACACCCCCCCCCCCAGTCTTGGCGCAAGGCTGTGCGGTCTCCTGGGGCTCCGGAGTTAGCCGGAGTGAGTCACATCGGGCAATAATCCATAGCAGTGGTTTCCATACTGTCCGAGCAAACTCATTTCCCGCTGATTGTTTTCAGCTCTTGGCCACCTATGCTCTGTGGAGGCGGCTGGCCCTGAGCCTGGAGTGCCCACAGGGTTCTTTAGACCGGCCTCCTTGTCATGGTGCATGATGGGATAGCCACGTGGAACTCACCCACTCTCCTCAGATGGCCTGCGGCAGCAGAAGTTAATGGCCAAGTTGGTTCCTAGGGAAGCTGATCTGCCACTAGGGTTGTCAACCCTCAAGCGGGGCCTGGAGATACCTTCCCAAGCTCCACACTCCCCAGGGACCACCCATCAGTCTCCAGGAATTTCCCAACCCAGAGTTGGCAACCCTAGCCAGAGCAGCTCCCTGATAAACTTCTGAGGCTGCCCAGGGGTCCTGCTGAGCGGCTTGCAAACCACTCCTTAGTGCCTCCCGTCTTTCAGTCTCTCCCCCCTTTCTTCCTCTTGCTTGCCGATCCCACCCTCACTCCGGCACCAGATCAAGGAAATTCCACCTGCCTAAGGCAGGGGTCTTGGTGCCCCCCCCTCTATTGAATCAGGTGGGGGTAGCCTGAGGGAGCCCGGCTGTCCAGCAGGCCGCCTGTGCAGCAGGCTTTGACCTCACCATGAGAGTGTCTCACTTTTCCTCCCAGAAGTGAGTGGGCGGCTTGAATCCATTCCGATGGCTAAGAGAGAAAACTCAGATGCCACAAGACAGCTCTTGAGAGTCAAGTCTAATCTCCTCTGCACAGCCCCACACCTTCATCCGCATGGCTCCCTGATGCTGCTTCTTGGCCATCCTGGAGTCTGATGGGAAGAGAGGGCCATGCCATCGATGAGATAATTCAAAATGCTGCTGCCGCCGCCTCTGTTTTGCTGTTGCTGCTTGGGAGACCCAGCTAGGGGAGGGCATGAGAAATTGCAGAGGTGTGTGTGTCTGGTGGGAAACAGTTTGAATGTGGAAACCCCCAGCCCACCCTTCAGGGCTGTGGCCTGGACAGGCTGATTTCTCCTCTCCCCCAACCCTTATTTCTCTGCTGCTCTCAACATTCTGTCCCTCCTGAAGTATATCCTCAGCTCTCATCAGCTTGTGGGGTTTTTTTTTGGAGGGGGTTAACCCCTTTTGGTTCTTCATAGCTGATATTTTTCTGCATACCTCCGAGTCTCCTGAGTATATACAGTGAGATCAGATTCCAGGAGCACCTTCGAGACAAACAAGAATTTCGGGATACGAGCAATGTTCCCTCTAAGCTGAGTTAGTGTGAGCTAGCTCACATTTTTTTAGCCTCCGGCTCACACGTTTGTCTTTGCTCAGAAAGGATGGCTCCAAAGCAAACGAATTAATTGCCAAATAGCTCGCTCACAACTTTAATGCCAGCAGCTCACAAAGTAGATTTTTTGCTCACAAGACTCCACAGCTTAGAGGGAACATTGCATACGAGTTTTCGAGAGCCATGAGTCCTTTCATCAGATGCAGTACAGCAGAAATGTAGCTTTCATCTCGAGTCAGTTCATCCCAGCTTGTAAAGGATACCGGTCGGCAAAGGAGAAATACTTGGGGGTGGAAAAACTTAGCATCTGCAGGGAGAGAAGAATCCTATGTCCCTGTTGCTAAATTCAAGCTAATTCCCCAGTTCGGAACAGTGGACCCCCCCAGGGTTAATTAAATAGAGGCACTGGATTTTTATCTCACCACAGGATTCTTTGCAACGCCCCTCCCACCTTCTGGCCAGGATAAACAGACTGAGATCTCCATGTCCGCTGTCCTGTGCCTGATGAAAGTTCATATTCCGAAACTCTTGCTGGCCTCGGGCTCCTGGCCTCGAATCTCACTGTTTCGCTGCAGACCAATATGGTTGCTCTCTGAAACTTTCCTGGGGATATAGAGACTTGGAGTAGACTGGAAGTAAACGGGACCCTGGGAAAGGGCTCTGGCGTGTCCCACCCCCATCCCCAATGGAGGGAGGGAAGAAGTCCAGGCCGCCTGCTCGCAGTGGCAGCAGGTCCAGTCTTCTTTGCACCAGGCAGGGGGTTTGGGGCTTGTCGCAGTGGGGGCTTGCACATGCCTTCTGCCTGGCAAGAGCCTGCTGCTCTCAGCGTTTCCCCGGCAGCCTTGATGGCGCTGCGGCAGGGCCTTCTGCCTCCTCTGGGGGTGGCCTTGGTTTTCTGCTTTCATGGTTCACACAGGATCCAGCCAGGTTTCTCTTCAATATTGTGATGTTTTTAGTAGCCCAAGGTTTGTTTTTTCAATTTCCATATTTTCAATTTTTAATTTAAAAGTTAGGGGGGAGCCGTCTGAACGAGTGTCCTGCTTGGTGTAGTGGTTAGGAGCGTGGACTCTAATCTGGGAGAACTGGGTTTGATTCCCCACTCTTCTCCATACAGCCGCTGGTGAGACCTTGGGTCAGTCATAAGTTCTTTCGGAGCTGTTCTCACAAGAGCAGTTCTTGAGAGAGCTCTTTCAGCCCCACCTACCTCACAGGGTGTCTGTTGTGGGGAGGGGAAGGGAAAGGGATTGTAAGCCGCTCTGATGCTCCTAGTGAAGCATGGGGGTATAAATCCAACTCTTCTTCTGCTTCTGCATCTTCTGACTCTTCTTCCTCCTCCTGTCCTGGAGATAGGGCTGCCAATCTCCAGGTGATACCTGGAGATCTCCCACTATTTCAACTGATCTCCAGACAAAGGAGATCAGTTTCCCTGGAGAAAATGGCCACTTCGGAGGGTGGACTCGGCATTGTACAGTGCTGAGGCTCCTCCCCAAACCCCACCCTCCTCAGGCTCCACCCCCCAAATCTCCAGGTATTTCCCAACCCTGAGCGGAGAACCCTACCTAGTACCCGGAGATGTTATTTCCTGTATAGCCAGAACTGGATCCCACATCATCAGGCAGGAATTCATGTGGGTAGCAATACAGTTTATGGGGAGTTTTGGAATGGCTTGCCTGCATGTCCTGTTAGGAACAAAATAAGAATAATGTGGCAATGGATCCTGAAGCCCTGTGTAGCTGGAGGACTCTCTCCTAGAGGTCGACATGATGTGTGCTAGTTTTCTGTGTAGAAATGTTTTGGGGAAGGAGTAGCATTCACTTATGCAATATCTCTTTCCCCTTCCCATAGTCGGTAGTAGCACAGGCGAAGGACAGCTTTATTGTGGCCGTTGTCTGTGTGAGCTGATCCTCAGATGGCAAACCTAAGCATACTTGCTAGGAATTAACTGTGCAGTTCTAAGCAGAGTAACAGGGTGTGGCGCTGCCGAGGGTTGCACTGTGACTTGTTTTAGAGTAAACATAGTTAGGCTCATACAGTGACGCCACAGCCCAAAGTATGCTTATTTGGCCGGTTTCATGAAAAACGGCCGACTTTCTTCCATCGAAATGTGTTTGGAATTAGGGTATAATCCGAGGGTTTTGGTGGAACTCGGCTTGTGGCATGCGGACTTTATATTTGAATCCACAAACAAGCTGAACTGGAGTTCTTGGATTCTAAATCCAGTCAGTAATTTCATTCATGTCAGTGGACTGTGACAGGATCGAATCCCGTCTGAGGCTGCTAGATGGTTTCAATGCACTTTGACAAATTGCACATTTACACGGACCTTCCAGGGAAAAGCAAGGAAAGAGAGGAGCTGCAGTGGAAGACTGGTGGTAAAGGAAAGGGTTAAGCATCTCACTATCTTTTTGTTTCAGATCGTGTATTTCTGAAGCTATTATGTGAGAGGGGCTGTGTGGCTCAGTGGTACAGACCATGCTTTACGTGCGGAAAGTCCCAGATTCATTGGGAGCAGTACCTGGGGAAGGTGGAGTTTAGGGAGGATGTGATGTCACTTCTGAGCAATACTCTTGGAATTTCTCCTAATCTGTATGGTAAATACAATAGAGACTAGAAGAAATTCCTAGAGAGCCACTATGGAGGTCACTTTTTTCTCACGCTCCTCAGTTTTTCAAGGGTGAAAGACAGGGGCTTGGGCAATTGCGAACCCTACAGATTCAATCCTGGGCATCTGTTTTAAAGGATCTCAGGGGCAAACCACACATGCGCAGGGAGTCCTGTGTTCAGAGCTCCCTGAGGTGTTTTTTTAAAAGTTAATTCTCAAGTGTTGGGAGGATCTGGTTCAGACTGGGACTGTGGCTCATGAGGAGAGAGGGCTGAAGCCTCCCCCCCCCCCATGGCATTTCCCTGACTTGAAGCACGTATTCCTTAGTTTCAACACATTGGGACAAATAGCAGCTTGCTGAGACTCTTCCAGGTTGGGAAATCAGCACAGACGGGAAGGCATAAACCTGACGCACCACATTGCCAGTCCTCACAAAGCACCTGCATGCCTGAGAATTAACATTAAAAGAATGCCGGGAACTCTGAACATGGAACTCCGAGCTCATGTCTGGTTTGGCAAGTTTGGGGGAAGATGTTTCTCTCCCCAAGCGTTGCTTTCAGGCAGAGTAGACCGAGTTGCAAACTAGATGGGCCAATGGTCTGATGGGAGGAGGCAGCCTGATGTATTCCGTAGAAGAAAGGGGCCAGCAAAGTTCACGTGTGGGGTGATGTTTGTCTGTATGCTGAAGAC